TCAGGGGGGCGGGCGGGCATATATGGACGTAAGCGCTCCTTCAGGTAGCCAGGACCCAAGCTGTTTAGGGCTTTATAAGTGATCACCAACACCTTGAATTGGGCCCGGACTTCAATGGGAAGCCAGTGAAGCTGACGGAGGACTGGAGTCATATGAGCATAACGCCCCGTCCCCGTCAACAGCCTGGCAGCTCTATTCTGAACCAATTGAAGTATCCGGACCGTCTTCAAGGGTAGCCCCACGTAGAGCGCGTTGCAGAAGTCAAGTCGGGAAGTCACCAACGCGTGTGTCACTGTCGCCAGGCAGTCGTACTCCAGGTAGGGGCGCAGCTGATGGATCAGCCGAAGCTGAAAGAAAGCTTGGACAGGCGCATATAGGCAGTCCCTCAAATAGTGTGGTCCCAAGCCAATTAGAGCTTTAAAGGCCAAACACAGCACCTTGAATTGGGCCTGAAAACTAACGGAGGGCCAAAGTAAATGTAATTTGTACTACCCTAATGGGGTAGCATGGACAGCAGATCCCACAAGCACTCTGGCTGTCGAATTCTGTCCCAGCTGCATTTGCCGAATGGTTTTCAATGGCGGTCACACATGAAGCACATTGCAATACTCTGACCTGGGTGCAGGCAAAGCGTGTTTTACTGACTCTTCAAATCATGGCAGCTGATGCCACCTGCACCTCCACAGGCAGGGTTGAGTCCATGGAGCAAGTCTATTGCCTAACCTGTATCAGTCAAAAAAGGAATGAGCTACATGAGCCTCAGAAAGCTCGCAGAGCGAATGAAATGGCTTCAGTGAGGGATCTGTGCTCACAAAGAACTGAGTGTGTTGGGGGAAGCCATTTCCTACACATATCTAGAAGCTGATCTGGGTTCGGGGAAACAAAGTCACATGCTACGACTTTAACATGCCACACGTTCAAACGAGTTAAAACCCTTCTCTCTCACACATTCCTGGGGCAAGATTTAGTTAGGAGTTCCTCCCTGCCCAAGCTCTATATGCTATCGAAGGAGGTCTGCCCCACGTGCTTCTTATACACATGTGGACTGCTCCCAGACTGAAGTGTCCAGCAAGCAGCTTATGGGAAATAGTGCTCCTCGTGGTTTTTAAAAGAGAACGCATGGGTCTTTCTCCAAGTAGGCCTGAGTTCAGAAGAACAAACACCAATACCATTCTGAATGACACCGTAAAAGAGCCAAATGCTGCACGATACTCACGGAAGGTGTAGCCCTGTCAGTAGTACCTGGATAACCATTTTGAGCTTGCCAGTAAAGCCTGGCAAACCTGAAAGAGCTGTGCCTGCAGCGTTGAAGGTTACCAGAAGAATAGCGCCCGTTAAGACAAGCTGGTCCAGTTCCAACTGCATTTCCTGAAAACGGCTCTGGTCCATTAACACAGTCTGCCAAAAGAAAATATCGCAGCACAACAAAGGAAAGTATGTTCAGGATGCTGGGCAAACGGCAAGATGCTGTAATATTTAGATGATGATACCACACAGCAAAAATCAAGCACATTTATTTTGAGTAGCTGCAGAAGGCTTAATTCTGAAATACCATTGTAGCTGTGAGCCTTTTCAATACCAAGTTGGATTACAAGGTTCTGAACAGCTGTTTCCAAACAATACAGAACCAGGTTTCTACAATGGGCCAGGACACCAAAAAATCACAATACAGAAACAGCTGCAAACTGGGCCCAGCACTTGGCAAGCTGCTTGCCTGCAGCAGTTTGCCATGCAGATCAAAATGGTTTCTTCATGACATGGCTAAGGTTTGTTCCAAAGGTGTAGGGAAAAGAAAATCCCCAGTGCTCATGGGAAGCCACTCCACCAAAAGCTAGAGAGACTATTATAAGAGGAGGGATGGAGAGGGCCAGGATTCACAGCAAATTTCAAAAGCAGGCCAGGTATATGTAAGAATAGCAAAAATTACAATATAGGTGTTTTCCCAGAATAAATGGCTGTGGTCTGAAATGTGTGCATAGAGGGGGAAAGGTCAACTGTCCCTCCCATCCCACTAAAGTTCAAAGTTACCGGAAACCAGATTCTGGCTAGATATCAGGAAAAAAATTCCTCTTAGAGCAGTACAACAGTGGAGCCAATGACTTACGGGCTCTCCCACATTAGAGGCATTCAAGATGCAACTGCACTGAGTAGGGGATTGGACCTGATGACCTTCTAACCCAATTCTACTATTCTACGATTCTATGACTGTATAAAATGATGCCCAAGTGAGCTTTGCAACATGGAAGAACTGACACGGGAAAGTTTCCTTGATACAGCGGCATTTTTACAAGCAAGAAGGATATCTGAAATCCTTTCATGTAACCTTTCAGAAACCCATTATAATCTTGTTCACTTTGAGTCTCTACAACCAGGGTGGACAACCTGTGGCTTTTAAATGTTTTGGCTTACAATTCCCATTATCCCTCACAGCTGACTACGCCTGCTTGGACTGATGGGAATTGTAGGCCAAAGCATCTGGACAGCCACAAGTTGCTGCCCCTGATCTAGAAGATAACTAAAGTATTCAAGACCGGAAGCCTGTTAGTGAGTTGAGATGAACAATCATTGACGGAATTCTATTCTCACAGACCCTGTTAAGAAAACTGGAGTTGCAGAAAAGACATCCCACTGGCTGTCAGCCCTGATGATCAGCACTGCTTAATGGGGTGGAATACCAAGCACTATCTGCTTCATAACTGGATGCCAATTAACAGCCCCTGGGCAAGAGACCTCTTCCGAGGGAGGAAGAAGTAAAGGGTGATTGTTATAAACATACAAATTATGCAACTTTAATGGGGAAATGCATGACACAGAACTCTACCTGAGCAGTGACATGTATTTCAAAACAAGGCACACTTTCACATGGTGTGCCATAAAAACAAACGTCAGCAAGGTTCCATGTAACCCTGCCAGGTTCACAGTGTTATAAAATCTCATTCCTGCACCAACCTGGAGGTTGTAAATCTACACTAAACGTAGGTCATTTGGCTCAGGGAACACATATCAGTGGACAAAATGTTCAGGCTTTTAATCAGCTGTTTGTTTTGATTTAAAAATATATAGTACCTGGTATAGGTTGCAATTTCCCACACATAAATCAAGACATTTGCCATGTACCAAGACAGTCAAACAGCCAAAACAGCTAGTTAGCCACCCCCACATAGTTTAGACGTTTACAGTTTTAAGCCCAAAATGACTTAGGGTCAAGACTACCTTCATCCACACAGTGCTGACTATATGTAAAGAACTGCTTTGGGGGTCCTTCTTGAGTGCCAGGCATAAAATTTTCTAATGCTATTGTTTTTCTGTGCCATATGCTTCCATTTATCCACAGTTGTCTGGGCAGTTTTATTATACTCAATCATGTTAGATGAGCTAAATGTAGGATATGATCTTTTGTAAGTTATTCTTCTAAGGCAAGCATTAATAAATCCTAGTGCTCAGTTGCCCGTGAGTGCACTAAAACTTAAGTTGTGACAATCCCTTCATGTGCACGATGCCATTGGCTCCTGGCTGGCTGGCTCCGAACTAGACTTCTATGAAGCACATTTATCCTCAATTGCTAATATTCTTCAATAGCAAAATGAAAGAAAAGACTCTGATTATTCTTTGCTTCAGTTAGCGACTTAAGGGTCCATCCCTGCTGGGTTAGATGAAGATCCCATCTAGTCCAACATTCTGTTTGAGATCCCCCAACCAAGACATAAATGCAACAGCCCCCTTTTCCCAAGTTCCCCAGCCTGTGTCCACAAGCCCAGACCTTCCTTTGGTGAAACAGAATGTCCAGCTATTTATTTACATATTTATTTAAAGGTTTTATATACCATTCATTCAGAGAAAAAGCTCTCTGAATGCTGTTCTGAATCAGATGGTTCTCAAGCTGAAATGGAACCAGTAACCAGTGCAGAGTCAGTGAAGCTGAACATTAACTCAGCAAATGAAAATTAAACTCTTAATATAACACTTCTCTTTGAGTGCGTAGCTTAAAAACAGTTCTTTTAGGGATATTCTTTATTTCTTTTTAAATTTGTATGCTGCCCTCTAATCCAAAAGGATTTTTTCGGCAGCTACAATAAAATACTAAAACACAGCAATAATACCAGTTACATATAAAATCACAGTAAAAAGTTAACAATAAAATTATAGTATATGTCATTGCCTTTACATTTACAAATATTCTAATAAAATCACTTCTAAATGCATATTTGAATATAGCACTGAAACTATATTGTCTGGTTAATATAATGCCCCCTAATTAAATATTTCAATTCAAATATTTTATAGCTATTGGGAAAACTTTTGATATATTAATATTATGCATAAAATTAACATGAGGTACATTTGCAGTTTACTAAATATTAAATATTTTGTGTGCTTATTAGGGAAAATGTGTGAGTGAGTGAGAATGAGTCAAATATACATGAAAAATCAGATAGCATTGTTCAGACCACTTGAAAATTTTCCAGAAAAAAATCCAGAAAACTTTCTGGAGAAGTGTCCTGTTCTGCCTTTTCTAGAAAATCCACATCACTGCTTCCCATTATGATGGCTTAGGTTGATGTTCAGAAGAGATAGGGTCATCTTGGTGGTGGCCCCTAAACACTGGAACTCCATTCCTATTTCCCATCTATATGGCCATGTAGGTGAACTTTGAAGATCTTTCTGTTTAGTGCTGCTTTTAACTGAGATCACAATCAGCCTAAGAACACTGATTGGCCTTATGTCAGTCAATGATCTTCACAGCCAAGTGAGAATTAGTATCTGTGTCTTTCTAGACTTAGACCCAGCTCTTTCCAAACACAGAACTTTCATTCATGCAAGGTCACCACCAACTTCTGTCTTCAGTGAACTATTAGCATATTGAGGTGCCCAAAGTACTGACTAAACAAATGATCTGAACCAGTGTTGTAAATTAGCCATGTTGCTAGCATGAACTCTTTATACTATCCTTTTTATGCATAAGAAGAGATGGGAATGGTGAGCCAGGGCACTCTTTTTCTCCTGGGCTATTCCCTGTTAGTAAAAGACAAGCCAGAAAAAAAAAATGTGCAGGCTAGAAATGCAGCAGGCTGACAGCAGATGCACAAAATGCTCCCTCCTCTGCCAGCCCCCTTGGGTTTCTACCCTGGATATGCGGGAAGCATCCCGGTCTCAAGCGTGTCCAGCACAGAAACAGTGGAGGGGGAGAGCAAGCAACACCTTGCAGGCTGGCAGTTTGGTTTCCCTGCTGGATGCAGTGGTGGAGGGTGGAGAGTAGCAATGCAGAAGGCTGGTGAAAGAGGAATGGGCTACTCCGTCTGCCCACTGCCAGGCTGCTCAGTTTCTGTGCTAGACATCTAGGAGCTTTGCTTGCAAAGAAAGTGCAGGCTGGTGGCGGGAGGAAAAGGGGCTCTTCTTTCCGCTGCCAGCTCGCTTGGTTGCTAGGTGCACGGGAGGGCGCTTACATGAACCCCACAGCTAGCAGGGAGTGGCAATGGGCTGCCAGAAGACGGACGGGGCTGCCTGGATAGCCATACATAGAAATATAACGTCCGGTCACCTTTGCTAACTGGAAAGTTGTGGGACTGCAGCTGAATGGGTGACCACATGAGGAAGCCAAGCAGGGGATTGGACTCAGTGGCCTCACAGGCCCCTTCCAACCCTACTGCTATTCTATTCTCCCCTTGCATCCTCTGCCTCTCCACTTGGTTTCTGGGCTGCGTGGGAAAGAGGCAAAATGCCCTCCTTCTTGCCCAGCTCAGCAACACAAGGACTTTGCGGGAGGAAAGGCAGAGCACTCCACGGCTCCTGCGGCAAGCCACTTGCTTGCTTGGACGCGACTCGTTTGCCCCTGCGGCAACCGGGCAGGTGATTAAGAACAAGGCCGATCTGCAGCATGTTTAATTCAAATCTTATGAATCCAAGTATTTATCACCGAGAGATTATGAAGATCACAGAGAAGCAAACAGTTACCTCTGGAAAAGGCTTTCGAAGATGATCCCACTTGAGAAGTTTAAGATAGGCGTGATTCTGCACAGCGATGGGACACAGTGCAGCAGCCCTGCTGGCGGATGCAGTGCCATCATCAATGGCAGGTGTAACTTTGGATCTCAGGTCATCCGCAGCTTCCTGCAGCCACTCAGTGACAAAATCTAAGGAATCTGATTTGAGGGAGAGTGAGAGGGAAAACTTACCAGACCATTTTCTCAATGATCCATTCCTACTCATATATATTCATTGAAAATATTTTGGCAGTGCTCGTCACTCAAAATTAAATCAATTGGTTTACAGCAATACAGGAAGAAAAAGAAAGAAAAGACCACCCAAATAAAGTATACAATCAGGAACGGGAATAGAGAGTGTCTCACCCACATGTAGTCTAAAAGCAGGACTCCTCGGGGAGGAAATTCCATGAAAGCCCTCTCCCTAGTCAGTACCAGCCTCATCTCTGACAGGACAGGTAGCCAAAGAAGGGAACTGGCAGGTAATCTTACAGAGTGCAGGTAGGCTGAAGCTCCTAGTATTTTACTTATAACCCTTTCTTTTCTGGTCTGCATCTGATAGAAAATCATTTGGCTTTTTAAATGATTCAACTGAAATAGAGGGGTATACTACAATTTGTATATTGCTTGATATAGCCTATTTTATTAACACCATTCATTTCTCATAACACTGTGATGCAAAAGGGAACAAAACTGCATTCATTAGACTGCTTCACATTCCTACCACTGGAAAACACCCGTGCAGCTTAGTAGTTAGACTGCCAGAATGGGGACCTGGGAGATCCAGGTTCTGGTCTCCACTTGGTCATGAAGCTCACTGATGACTTTGGGCCAGTCACTGCCTAACATACGTAGCAGGTTCTTGTGAAGACAAAATAGAGAAGATGGGGAGGATCATGCAAGTTGCCTTGGGTTCCTTGCAGGAAAAAATACAATACATAAATAATGTCCTCTGCAAGAAAACACTTTAAAGAATCTAGCTTGATTAACAGGACAAACTTATGTGCCTTTCATCCAAAGCCAGTCCCATATCGTTCAGTGGTCTTCCCCCATTCAAGTGGAATTACTCAAGCAAATTTCTTCAATTAAAAGCTGAAGAACTGAGCATCTTCCACTGAAACAACTTAGTAAGTTTGTATTTTAGAAACAGAAGCAGATCATTCAGTAATGCGAGATAACAAAAATTCATACTTGGCTGTTTTTCATAGAGTTCCTGAAACTTCTTCCTTTCATATTCAACAGACTGCTGCATTAAATGTGGTCTAATGCTGCTGACTGCAAAATTAGCCATGTCCATTTTCATCAAGTCCAACACAGAGAAAATTGCTCTGTAACAAACAAAAAGGCATTAAACATTTCAAGCAGCTGTACATATACCTATGCATGCCACCCTGGCCTCTTTGGGATGAGGGAAGGTGGGATATAAATGCATAAAATATCTTTCCCACAGAAAAATCTATTTAGTGTTACATGTCAAATATTCAAAATATTCCAGAAAGCTTGCATTGAAGAAGGCCATCTCCAAAGGAAGCATCACATTTCCTTCTAGTACCTGAACATGGGAACAATTTCATGAATATCTTTCAGCTTCTTAATTTCCTCATCTCTAGCTGGAGCACAAAGAGTCCCCATCATGCCAATAATGAATTCTGCCAGCTTTGCGATGTCAAGGGCACCATTCTCTGCTTCCTGCTTTATCAGCTCCAGGTCTAAAGCGTCAGTAATCTGATTTCTTAATCTAGTATGTCCAGGAAGCAAAAAAGACAAGAGAGTCTGAAAGAAAGCAAAGTTCCTTTTATTAGCTCCTAGCAGTATTGAATTGCCATACCTTTCCACAGTATTTCAGAATCAACAATGTTTATGGCAATAATACATTACTATTAAAAGTGGTATTTTGTGTATAAAATTAAGATCAAATTATTACAGGTTGTAATCAAGATTTTCATCTTCTCTGTACAGTAGGGGTGTGCTCCACACCCACCTTTGCGCCTGCTGCTGAATTTTGGTGGCATACTGGTGGCAAATATGCAGCAATTTCTCTCTAACACAAAGCATGTAGGAAACACATGCTTTGCTTCAAAGTGAAAATATGTACCCTGGAGACTTAGGGGAACACAATGTGGCTTGAAACAAGGTAAATATTTATGTTAAAAAGAAAGTGGAACTTTTTGGCTTGTTGTGGGGGATAAGTGGTCACCTCTGATGTTTAGTAAAAACCCTCCCTCGCCTACCACTTTCTCCCCTACAAAGATTTCAGGCGTCTGTTTTCAATATACAGATGGATCTGGAACCTATGATTCTCTGCAGGGGGAAAGCAGTGGGAGAGGGAAAGGTCGAATGTCCCCTTTCCTCTCTGTACCATCCTCCTTGCGGATTTCCTCCTCCCAATACCACATACTACAAGTGGAGCCGCAACATGCAGGTACTGCGTAAATGTGGCTACAAATGAAGCAGAAGGAAAGCTCTTGCTTGTTAGGTTGGCAAAATAACTTGGGCAACATAACTTCTCACTTGTGTCAAGTCATAAGCAAGGTTATTGAAAAACAAAACTGGCATGCCAGATTGATCTCTAAACTCTTTGGGACAAGGCTTATGACAATGAGAGAGCAGCAGAATTATTTCCACTGCTCTGTTAGTCTGTTGCAACCAAAACAACAGTCTGGTTCCAGACTTGCAGAAAGGATTCAGAGGCTGTCTGTCCCCAGTCCATGTCCCAAAAAGAAAAGTTGTCCATTGCATATGAAATAATAAATGATGAAGACAGGATACTGGGCTATCTTGTCTACCAAAAATTTCCTTGATGAATCAGGCCAAAGCTGATCTCATCCTGCAGGCTGTCTCCAGCTGCAGCCAGCCATCTCTCTCTGTGTCACACACAAAGATGCCTTTCTGTCTCCGATGTCCAGCCATGGGAACACACATTATCCTTTTAGAATTTTTTAAAAGATATCGTTTCTGCAATTCATTTTTATACCACCCCGCAGCCAAAGTTCTCTGGGTGGTTCACAACAATTCACAACACAACATTTTTCATTGTGCATTTTTTTTTAAAAAGCAATCCAACAGCCAAAACAACTCCAGTACAACCAGACCTGCCAAAGCAGCTGATACAAATGCCGCATCGTGTCATCAAGCACCCTTTCTGGAAGCTGCAACTGGCGCAGAATGTGGCAGCCAGATTATTAACTGGGACCCAGGGGTCCAAATATATAGGACCAGTTCTGGTCCGCCTCCACTGGCTCCCTGTACGCCTCCAGTTTCAATTCAAGGTGCTGGTCTTCACCTATCAAGCCCTGCATGGTTTGGGACCACAATACCTGTTGGAGCACCTCTCCCAACGCCAATCTATCTGGACACTATGCTCAGACTCTGTGGCCTTCCTCTGGGTACCAACCCCTGGAGCAGCCCAGAGAGCAGAAACTAGGGGGAGGGCCTTTTCAGTGGTGGCTCCCCCATCTTTGGCATAACCTCCCTACTGCAGCTAACCAGGTGCCAAATTTACTGTCTTTTCAGCACTAGGTTAAGACATCCCTCTTTGTGGAGACTTTTAAAGACCTCCCTGGTCATTCAGGGGCCTGACACACTTAACCAGGTGACCTGATCAGATCGTTTTAATTGTCCTTTTCTTGTTTTTATCTATTGTACTGTATCTATTTTTTGTTTTTTATACTTTGCTGTAAACCACCCAAAGAGCTTTGGCTACAGACATAAAATGAAAAACAACAAGAGTCACTGAGGATGTTCCTCAACCTGGCACTGAACAGATGACAGATCTGCTACCAGGCAGACTTCAGTGAAGGAATTTTTCCATAAATGTGGGGCTGCCACAGAGAAGGTCCTTTTTCTACATTAATAAACAATGTAAATGATTTCATCTAGAAGGCAGGATATACTTGGATTTTCAAAATGCTTGCGACAAAGTCCTTCACCCAAGGAACTTAGAAGCCACAGAGAAGCAGAATGAATCCTCTTATAAAATGGTAACTGGTCAGAATTATTCTTAAATCATGCAGAATTAGGGATGGACAATGAAGTAGTCAGACTGGTAGATGAAAACAAATTATTCTCTCTTACTTCTTTGATCTCTCCCACAAGTTTAATTGCATGGTCATATGATGGCGGATCTTCTTTTAACTGCGTTTCCAAGCAATCCCAAAAAGCTTTGTGGACAATATCTCGTACTCTTTTTTCAAGGCTGGCAAGCAATACAATGGGGGACAAAAACTGAAATGTAACTCTGATACAATGCCAAGTATAAAAAGCCTATGAGATCTCAGAGGAAAATATCTGACTAGCACTTAATGAGAACATGAAATGGCTGACCATGTAGCGATGGCGGCATCAGAGTGCATGTAGAAACGCTTGGCAGGGGACTACACACATGCAGAATCTAAGAGGGTGTCATAACTCAAAACCAACAGGCAAGGTAGACTCTAGTGCAAGGATCAAAGACCAAATTGATAGTGATGGCAGCCACAGAAACTCAGTGAATGTCTTTCTCCTCTTCATGTACCTGAGATGGAAGGGACTGTGGCTGGAACATTACAGCTCACCCAGAACTATTTCCATGAAGGATAAATAAGCTTCTCAAGGAAGCTGTTTACCCCTTTCCCATTCTTGTGACATGGGCCAAATGAAATGGAAAATTTGTGTCCAGTTTTACATATCTGTGAGAAGTGAGGAGCATCATTTTGCTGATGGCTGGAAAAAAATCACAGCTGGATTGTATGCGTACACTGATGTAAATGCTTTTCCTACATAGAAGTCAGGGCATTGAAGGAATGCCCCTAAAGAAACAAATACAAATTCATATGGATTTTGTGTTCAGTCCTGTTTTCCACGGCTGGTCTTTACTGAAAATAATTGCTCGCTAAATACATAATCATAAGCACACTTTCCAGGAAGTAAGTTCCATGGTAAACAAACACCAAGTAAACTTTCATAAAATTGGACTGCGTATGATGGAAATCTATGGGTTACATGTATAATGAAATATCTCTTGTCGAGTCAATCCGAATGCTTGCACATTCCCTTTTCTTACTACACAAAGAATACAAATGTTTGAGCTGGACTGTTCGGTGCTGACCTCCATGGCCCTATAAACCAGTATCAGAAGATTGGAAGGCAGAGGGGGTGCAGTTTGCAGGATCTGGAAGATTTCTTCTATTTATGCAAAAACACTAAAAGATGGTGCATGCAAGTCCAAGATCTGCTTCTGCTGTTCATATGCTGACATTCTCTCAGTAAACATCTGACTAGGCACCATTCCATGGTAAAGATTTATAGAAATGTTGTTAATTGCCAGAGTCTCACTGCTGTAGCCATTAGTTGTGCTTCGGGTCCTAGCTACAGCATCACACTGGTTTTTCTGCCTGTAATAAAGGTAACCCTCTTACCTGTTTTCTGGTAAATCAGCTGGCTTAATCTGGAAGCCTCCATTGACAACGATTTCATGGGCTAATACCATGTTGGTCACACCTTTTGCAGTTTCCATCAGTTCCTCCACTGACACAAACTGAGGAGGACTAGCTGTCAGATAATGAAATATACGTTAGAAAAAAAGTTCTATCCATTTAAAAATGGTCAAGTCAGGAGTCCATCTATTAACTCAAAAGCAAAACAGACACAATCCATGAAACAGTTTTACAGGCTGGGCTTGCACAATCAGGAAAGGAGATGAAGCCACAGTGGTTTTGTTTCCCTGCCCCACACATGCTGGTTATACACTGCCTCATTTACACAATTACCTAAGTCAAGTGTAGGTTCTCATGTTGTCTGATCCCCGAGGCTTGCAAACCATGTTGAAATCCTAGTATAAGTGGGATGGTTTCAAAGCCACCCCCTCTGCCAACCTTGTTGGGTTCCAACAACAAGGCAACCTGTACCTTGTGCACATAATTATGGAAAGCACAAAGTAGTGAAAAGAAGCCATGGCTTTTGTTCCTTCCCCAGTCATGGAAACTCAGCCAAAGATCCAGGAATACCACTTTCTGCATTAATGCAGCAAAATTTATACGTTCCCTGGTTGCCAAGTTATTGTAAGCTACCAGGAGACTCCATACTGAAATTCAGAGAATATTTTATATTTTCTGAATAACTGAAAGCTTTGTCTGGGATATCTTTACATTTCTTCATGATGCCAATTAGGCACACATTTTTGTTAAATGGTCATCCACAGCCTAAACTAAACGTGAGGCAACAGCCATAAGGAGAAGCAGGTACGAATGTCAGCCTCACAGGAAAGAGGGTGCAAGGGTAAGGGGCAAATGAACTCGCTCCTAGCACTCTTCTCCCCATGTGCTCGCTTCTAGTTCTGAAGCTAGACAGGGAGAGAATGGGGGAGTAAAGCAGCATGGGGCAAAAAGGAGACTCTACCCCCCATCCTACCTTATGCGTGCATACATATGAATTATTGAAAACAGCTGAACCAAACACACTGCATATAAACAGAACTGTTTCACATGAATTATTCCTAAGACCTAATAATGATGTACTGTCAACAAAGTCACTTCTGTACATATAATAGAAAAGTGTACACTGAAATAAATGTATACTAAATTTCAGGAATGCCCTCAAAAACCCCAAGATATCTAATACTGCAAATTAGTAAAAAAAATCCAGTGGGGTCCAATCAGAATTTTCCATGTTCAGTCAGCATGTGACCATCTTGTGTGGCTGCAAGCTACCGTCATGTCTGGAGTGGCACAAAGAAGTGGGCTGGCAGCAGATTGTTCTGTACAAAGAAAGATATGCCTGCAAAATACAGAGCTGAAGAGAGGGGAATATGCTATTGTTCATGCAGACTCCTAAGAAAAACAGATTTGGTCACAAGATGATAAAGTTAAGGTTCCCAGATGGACAAATATGCCAAAAAGGCTATTGGAAGAGGGCAAAATAAGTTGAATTAAAAGATGAAGCCTTTCCACTGGAAGGAAGATATTACTGCTGAATAAATTACAACCTTGACAAACAACCAGAAATACCCATGATAAATAAAGGTTAGTTATTTTAGGAAGAGACTATACAGAAAGACAAAGCAGGATGAACCTATACTTAATTCCAGATTCTAAAGACTTGAAAGAAAAATGTGGAGATTGGACTTTTATACATACACAAAGCAAGTGCATAAATTTAATACTGGATGTCCATTTAATGGTTTGGATCCAGCAGGCTCATGAACAGATGACTGCTTGTACAATGTGTCTTCCATGCATACAATGCTCTCCATCATCTTTTTTCCCCCTGCAGCCCCATCTCCATGGTCTCCGTCAAATCTGCCCTGGAGGGTTCTCCAACCCTTCAGATTTGGGGATGTGTGGGAGGGGAGAGGAAATCCATCGCACCAACAGCTTCCCTCCCACTGGCAGAGAAACACAACTTGACCCTGCCCAATGGAAATAGCTTAAGCAAGTGTATCCAAGTTTAACACCGGATGTCAGTTTGATGGCTAAATTGCTCAACGTTTATTGGAGCACAGTGCAGTGTCTCAAAGGGAGACAGAATGCATTTTATTAAAGCAAAACACACACATACAAACCCATACTCTTTTGTGCAGAAGATGTCTGCAGTGAGAACAGAACAGAACTTGTACAGAACAGAAAGGGAAAATTTTACTTTTGAAGGAGGAAAATATTTTATTTGAAAAAATAATGTTGCTTACCCTCAGGTGTGTTTCCCCTTGTGGGACTTGGCGTATTTTGTCGAACCTTTTTTCTGACAGACTGTTCTGGGTTTTCCAAGCTGTCCTGCTGGTTATCCTCTGAATTGTCTGGTTTTCCTTCACTTCTACCAGACATATTTGGGTCCTGGGACATTCTCGGCTTTTGGGATTGAGGGATATTAAGGAAGATTTTAAGTTGATCCAAGCAGTCCTTTTACTGTGGCCAAATTTTATGCTAAACAGTTTATACTACAAAAGTCTTCAGTTAGTGCAGTTATGTTAGCACAATAAAGCAGATTAGAATTTGTCTCCTCTTTGCAGTTTTGAAGGAGTGAAATGCTGGGAAGTTAGACACATTGATTAAGAAACACTGGAATTAAATAATATAGTTGGAATCCTGAGCATGTGAAATATTTAAAAAGGAATAGCTCTGGCATCAAGTCACATTAAGTATAATGGTGTGGACCCATCCATTTAATTAGTGTGCAATCACTAATTTAGAAAAAATCCTACAACTCCTAGCTGGCTGGGGAATGCTTTGAATTTTGCAACATGATACAATGGTGTCACTTCTCAACATTTTGTTTTAATACCTTTTAAATAAACATCGTGATTGTGATGTTCAATTCAAGAAGGTGGGCAGAAAGCCACGAACCAGGAGTTCCTCTGTGAGGCAAAGCTTGTAAGAGTTTGTCTGAAACATGGCCAGGGTAAAATATCTTCTGTGAAACAAAACTACAGCAAAAATTAACTCCCACACAAGTATTTCAACAAGATACTGCATCCAAGGGAGACTTGAACATAACAGTGGGACCATATTAACTCTGAAATCCTATGCTATTTTCTCTGAAGTAAACCCCACTATGTTTAATGGGGTTTAATCCTAGGTAAGCATGCACAGAAATGAAGTGTAAGTGAACTTCACTGATTTTAACCTCTCTATTCAAATACTTTCAGCTGCTGAAAAAGCTTTTGAGATATTCATACAGCATGCAAAAATTAAGATGGCTTTTTAGTTTGTTTACTAAAGGTAAGCCAAACATAATAAACTAATTCATAATGAATTTAGGACACTGGAAATAGTTTTGGTTCACTTTTTTTCTTTTCAGAAGAGTGCTTTCCATTCAGATTTTAATAATAGCTTTGATAATGCTAGTTTGTAAATAAAGCTACTATTTTTGCTTCAATTCACTTGAATATTTCAACAACCAACCAAGTCAAGCAAAATGAAAAAGCTGACATCACCCCATTCACCTGTATCAGCCTGCCCACACCTTAAAATCAGCAAGAGGCAGATCTCTACCAGCAGCGATATGGACAAGTACAAATGAGCGGGCCTTTTCTACCGTGGCCCCAAAGGCCCTTCAAACCCCAGCAATGTTAGATTTCAGGAGCATCCTGAAGCCTTTTCCCTGGCTTTTTCCTCAGTATGTTCAGTGGAATGTTCTGGGTTTTTAGCTGTAATGGTGTTTTAAGGCACAATCCTACCCAAGTTTGGGCAAAACAAAGGCTTACAATTTCCAGCATACTCTAGCTAGCTATTTCATTTTATTTGACAGCAATGCTGGCTAGAGAATGCTGGGAATTCACCTTTCTTCTACCTAAACTTGCATAGGGTTTGGCCTTAGATTTCATTCACATCCAGGTTAGATGTTTTGCTGCTGATGTTTCTTGGTTTAATTGACTTCAACTGCTTTATCATACTTGCATTATTTTCTTGTATGGAATTTTTTTTGCATAAGCTGCCTGGGGAGGCTTGGGCCTGAAAGAGATTTCTTAAATAAATAAATACCTTTCATTGGAGGCAAGTTACACATTCATCTGCAAGCCACGGAATGATAAGACTGAACGATATTCATGAATGTGTAAATCTGCCCTTTGCCTTTCCATAAAATACTGACGTGAATGTGATGCTGCTTCTCACCACTGACACAGGCTAGAAAATAAAATCCAACTTGGTAGAAACCATCTGGGATATACAAAGTCAACTAATTGCCTGTTTAGCTAGCTCAGAAAGGGAGCATCTAAATCACTAAGATGCCCGCTGGAAAGGAGGAAAAGAAACACTTCCCATGATATAACTCTTGCTATAAAATAATTTTAAAATACTAATTCTTCAGAGCAGCAAATGAGAATTGGCCAGTCTTGAGCATGCTTTCTGCTCTTTTTGAGGCAGCTGAATGAAACCATGATGCTGGCTATTGAGTGAACAGTTAAACTGGACAAACCTGTAACCAGTGCCCATTTCCGTTCTACAGGAATATTCATCTGGGCTGTTTACTATTGTACAAGCCTTATTTTGAACTACATAGCTGACTGTCATGGGTAACAAAATCTCATCCATGTAAATGAGCAGCCTTCCCAAGACAAAGGAAGGAATGCACCATTACTCCCCATAAAGCCTGCTGCATATCCCTATGTGGGCCAGGAAGACGGTCATCCCCAGCAGTCTAGTGGCACATAGTGTGGAGATGTTACTTATGAAAAGCTGTCATAGCCACACATCCCAAGTCCAAAACTGTGGTTAGCTTTGGTGATATGGATACATTCCATATCAACAGTACCATATTGATAGTGGGTACATTCAAGACCAAGGCACCCTGAAACAGTTTGTATTACATCAAGGAACTATCTTTTTTTTGCTGGGAAAATTCAGTTCCCTCCAGCTCCCATGAAGACAGTAGCTAAGGAGCAGCTAAGTGCTCCTCAACCCAGAGTTATGCTTGGAGTCCCAGCTGACTACTGTGGCGAGGAGCACTTTCCACCAGCTTTGACTGGTCCATCAACTGCATCCTTATGTGGATGAGTGGAGCCTAGCAACAGTGACCCATGCTCTGGTAATCTCCCCACTGGATTACTGTAATGTGCTCTACATGGGGCTGCCCTTGAAGACAGTCCAGCTACTTCAGTTGGTCCAGAACAGAGCAGCCAGGCTTTTGATGGGGACTGGTAGGTATGCTCACATAATACCAGTCTTCTATCATCTGCACTGGCTACTAACTGAAGTTTATTTATTTATTTTATTTAAAACATTTCTATGCCGCCCCATCGCAACAAAGCCTCAGGGCAGCTCACAACACATAAATAAATACAAAAGTAATAAAATAAATACTAAAATTATACAATAAACAACACCCCCCAGTGCATTCTCGGCTCAAAACAAACAAACAAACAAAAACCCCTAGTTAATAAATAATTAACAGTTAAAATAAGTTTAAATAAAAAGGTCTTAGCCTGGCGCCGAAAAACAAATAATGACGGCGCCAGGCGGACCTCTCTGGGGAGCGCATTCCATAGATGGGTCGCCACCGCAGAGAAAGCTCTCCTCCGGGTGCTCACCCACCTAATCTCATTCACAGAGGGTTCCCGGAGGAGGGCATCTGCTGCTGACCTCAAGGGACGGGAGGGCATATATGGGTGCAAGCGTTCCTTTAGATAACCAGGTTCCAAGCCGTTTAGGGCTTTATAGGTCATAACCAACACCTTGAATTGGGCCCAGACTTCAACTGGGAGCCAGTGGAGCTGACAGAGAACTGGGGTTATATGAGAACAATGCCCAGTCCCCGTCAGCAGCCTGGCAGCTCTATTCTGCACCAACTGAAGTATCCGGACCGTCTTCAAGGGTAGCCCCACGTAGAGCGCATTACAGAAATCTAATCGGGAAGTTACCAGCGCGTGTGTCACTGTCGCCAGGCAGTCATGCTCTAGGAAGGGACGCAGCTGATGTATCAGCCGAAGCTGAAGGAAGGCGCTCCTCGCCACCGCCGTCACCTGAGCTTCCAAAGACAGCTCAGGGTCGAGGAGCACTCCTAAGCTGCGAACCCTGTCCCTCAGAGGGAGTGCAACCCCATTTAGGACAAGGCCCAAGTCCCCCATCCCGAGGTCTGATCCGCCCACCAACAGGACCTCCGTCTTGTCTGGACTGAGCTTCAGTTTATTGGCCCTCATCCAGCCCATTACCTCGGCCAGGCACCGGTTCAGCACAGCCACTGCCTCACCTGGGCTGGTGGAAAATGAGAGATAGAGCTGGGTATCATCAGCGTATTGATGATTCCACAGCCCACACCTCCTGATGACCTCTCCCAGCGGTTTCATGTAGATGTTAAATAGCAAGGGGGACAAAATGGACCAAATTAAGGTGTTAATGGCATATAAATGCCTAAATGGTTTAGGGCCTAGGTATCTGAAGGAGCATCTCCTTCCTTATACATCTGCTTGTCCCCTAAGATCCAGGTCTGAGGTCCTTCTTTGAAGAAGATCAGAAGAGTGATAAAGCCCCACCATCACCAGGTATCCAACCACAGAAACCAAGAGAGCCAACAGAATTGGCAGGGACCACTCCATGTCTTCTCTATTAGCTTGCAACTCTCTGGTCTGCAACCTGCTTTTCTATTAGCCTGCTTCCCACCCACAGAAGGACTGCCAAGGGAGGGGCAGAGTGCTCTATTGCTCCTCCACGGCCCATGTTATGGTAATAGATTAACAGACACTGTCATAATTTCTAATTTGCTCACTAAGTTCTGATTCCAACATTGTATATTTGACAAAGTTTTATCTACTTCATTGGAGGCATGAAGAGAGAGTTAGAATTCATCAACCAGTTCAATTCTTTCACTTGAAAGTTATTCAATTCACTTGAATTGAAATAACTGTTTTTTATCACACCATATGTGTTAAGCAGCTTACCTAATGCTGGGATGCCTGTAATCAGTAAAAGCTGCACTGCAAATGACTACTGTTAATAATACGATTGTCTTCATCTGCCCTCATATCCTCCATCCATGCTTTATAAATAAAACCTCAGCACTTCATCTGCTGAAATGGGCTATAGTTGATGAAAGCTTATGATGAAATGGCATTATTAGTCTTTAAGGTGCCACAAGAATCTTTGTTGGTTTTCCTGCAATAAATCAATGTGACTTCCTTCCTGGAAACCACTGCAAAAAAAATTTGACTTTCAGTGCATGCATGTCAACAAAGCACATCATGGGAACACAGTATGAGTTCTCAGATCATGTACCACACTGTATTCCTTCTCTGATGGGCTGTTATCACAAGTGCTTATTTTTGTCTTTTTACAGCGCAACATGAAGCAACAGGCAGAGGCCACTGAAGCGCAATGTCCTTTTGCTACAGCAATATAAAGCCTGTTCATTGCAGGACTTGACATGTTACTGTCAAGGAGACCAGGAAGACACAGAAAATATGATTTAATAAACACTGAATCTCTTATTGAATTCCAGAAACATTAAAGTTTGTTGAACAGAAGTGAGCACTCACAGTACCTTCAAAAATTATGAACCTACTAGATTCAACATATGAACTGACTAATTTCACATTTTTGCCGCATCACTACTTATGAATGAAAAAATCTGCAGCCAAATTAATTTGGGGAGCTGGACTCACAAGGCTGCACCACTCTACACTCCTAGAGTTAAAGCAGGTCAAATCCTAAATGCTATCTAATTGCAAGATACATAGCTTTTCATGTCCCTGATGAAGGAATGCTTGTGAAGAGATACAGAGCATTCCAAAGGGCTTAGCCTCATAGTACATCAAGAAGATGTACACAGAACTTCAGCGATAACACCTTACCTTTACAGGTGCAGAGAAAAACATCACTCATGTGCCTGCTTTACCACAGTCCTGCGCCAGGTTTGGGCTGTGACCCAGGCACTGTCTTTTGAGGAACTTGTCTCCAAATCCAGTCTCTCTAGTGAGCAGCTGATGCTATCACAGAAGAGGGGCCCCTGATTCTGAACAGATCAGGTGGGAAGCCTGTCTAGAAAACTTTTTGCTATGGTAAGGAACTTTGGCCAATTATTGAATTAAGCTCTTAAAAATCCACAGGTATATGCAAACACTAGAGGTTACGAACAATCTAGCTCAAAATCTTATTTCTTCTTTTCATTAACTCTGCCTTCTTTTTCAGAACTATACTGGGAAACAACACTTATTCATACTGAAATAGAACTTCATAGCTGAGAGCAAAACAAAAATTCAAGGAAGCATATGAATAATGTTCCAAAAAAAACCCAATCTCTTGCACTAGTCAGATTTTTTTATTTTTTAAATAAGGTAACTATTACCTTAATTATTACCTTGTTATCTATCCAAAGTAGACAATTCTTACTCCTAGTGTGAGATCCTGAATGGTAGAAAAATACCTCTGAAATCGGTTACCCAGTTATCTTCTTTTCCACTTTGCTATATAAATGAATTGTAACAGACACTTACTTTTTACTTAATCTCCTTGGAACAAGCCTTCACTTTACAGGAAAAAGGCAGAAAGCCAGCAAAACAATGCGTTGGAATGGTAATTCCAAACCAAACAGGAGCAGGAAGTCTGTAAGAAAGGCATTCCGACAGAGTTCAGTTCTACAGTACTTCAATGAGCAAAGGACAAAGCTGAAAAGATGCATAAGAGCTTGGCCCCTAAAGCCTTGTAACTATCTAATTTATAAGTAGATCTGGCTGTTTAAATGAAATTTAACTACAAGTAAATACAGAATTATTGAGAAAACAGCCTGATCACAACACATGGGAATTTAAGGGTAGGCTTTCACATCAGTTTCCCCCTAATCATTCCATGAAACCTAGTCTAAAATTGATTAGGGGAATATGGTTTGAGGACATGGCCAAATCAAACAAAACTTTCTATTTGGGAGGTGATCTAATACATTACCATCCACAAAATAAGAGAGATTTGTTACAACAGAGCTCTATCTAGCACCTGTTCCCAAAAGGTAGGCTTTTTTATTTTTCATGCTGCATAATAGATCTGACGGTACACATAGCAACACGCTTCTTTGCAACTATAGAAACAAACAGACCTGCTAGATCAGTTTTCCACCTGAAATGCTCTGTTATTTTTGCTATCTTTTATCTGCTTGTGTGAATAATGAACAAATCCTGGTTGTTCTATATCCACAATGCCTCTTTCAAACCTGCTAGTCACATTTGAGAAATGTCTGGAAACCACTCAGCACTTACTGACATTCAGAAGTTTCTCTTCCTAAAAAACAGCTTTGTATTGAGTTTTTCAGCAAGATAAAATTGCTTGGCAAACTTTATACACGTCATACTATAAAACAGAAATACCTCTCTCCCCTCCAGTTCTCTTTTCTACACAGTTCTTTTCTCCATTTTTAGCCTTTTCAACTCAGCTTTTCCTCTTGTTTATCAATATTGTATTGCATTTACATCCTGCCTTTTTTCCTCTTGTGAGGAACCCAAGAAGCTTACATAGACCTTCCCCAGTCCATTTTATTGTCACAATAACCCTGAGAAACAGGTTAGGCTGAGAGGTAGTAACTGGTTCAAAGTCATGCAATGAAATTCATGGTTGAGTGGGGGCTGGAACCCAGATCTCCCAGATCACCAGTCCAACACTCTTAACTTCCAGGCCACACTGGTTCTCACACTGGACACGCTGGCTTGTTTACTCATAGTTTTACTCTTCCTTTTTTATCCAGTGGCTTTCACTGGAAGCAACCTGGCTTAATTTGAGTTAGAACTTCAAGAGTACAGCTTCAACAGCCGTATCTATGGAGGGGATCACATTAACAGATAGGTAGTTGTAGTAGTAATAAGAAAAATATCTACAAGTTTGTGCTGAATGCATTTTCCTCAGCACTGAGTAACTGCAACAGCAGCAATCCAGTGAGGGAAAGCTGCCCTTATCAGAGGCCATAATTTCCACCAGGCAGGTGTAAGCCCTGGCAGTACCCCATTTTGGAAAGGCAGCGCATGAAATAGAGAAAGACAGGCTAGAACATAGCACGGGGGAAAGGTCTTTCCATTTCTATCATCTAAATTTTGCATCCCTGCCTAACAAAAGCAGATTATATCATCAAACCAGGTAGAATCCATAGCCATACCTCTTTAATGCCCTAGAAACATGCACCAATGTCTCCTATCTCTGCCTACTATCATACACATGACCAGAGGGGAGTACATAGCTCAAAAATAAAGAACCTACATTTGAAATCTGTTTGTGCAGACCCCATATACCATTCAAGGGTCTCTACAACAGGTTTTTCCTAACACACTTCTGACCTAAAACAATAAATAAACTTCTAAACAGACACAGATAAAACAATCCTGAATGTTTACGACTCTACAAAGTAAAAACAAAGAATACTAATGAGGAGATGCAGAATTCTTAAATAAAGTAAATCCTGTTACATTGTATGGAATTGTGGTACTTTGAGACAAGATCCAGTGGTCTCTAGTGACCACCGTATCCTCTGAAACAGGTAGGCAGGGTTGCAAACTTCTGATCTGAGTCCAGATTTAGTGCTCTGGGGTCTCCTGACAGGAGTCCCTGCCTCTGCACCAGGGCCACCTGTCTCTTGGTAGCCTCCCAGGCTTTCTAAAGTCCCTCCTCCCCGCCCCCAGGTTGAAAAGCTTGCCCTAAGGCTTAGGATATTGGCAGGAAAGGGGTGGGGGGTTGGTCCTGCCCTTTTAGCCTTAGTGTTGTCCACTGCTGGGTGAGAAAAAAGGAGTTTGGATCCTTGGTCTGACAGAGGTTCAACACACCCTGACTTGAACTCAGCGGGGCTAACATGCAGATACATATAGGATAGCAATATGCATCCGCCAATATGGCAAAGAACCATCTTTTTAATATAAACTCACGAAATACGCACCTTTCCCTTGTAATTAAAGCGTTTGCTCTTTGACTTAATGCCCCCAAAACGTCAAAAATAGCGGGATACCACCACGCTTTCACCGTATGAGGAACGTGAAGAGTGCAACCCTCCATAAGGGTAGCCGCGCAGTAGAGTTAATCCGGATTTTCCAGCGAGGGCAATGTTGTGTTCGTGAGTATGCGCGCCTGCGTGTTAAGGGCCATCACGCAAACCTAAGACCCTGACTCAGCAACGCTTTGAGAGGAAATAAGCAACACCAGTTTAGCTGTAGCGCCGGGTTTGGGGAACGTAGGGGGTGCTTCCTTTCCACAGAACCTGACCCTCTCCCTGACCGGGCCCCGCAGCCCCTCTTTTGAGCCCTGATGCTGTTTCTTGCTGCAAAGGCTCTCTTTTGTTTACTTGACATCCTAACCCAGCATGAAGCAATTCGGCAGCGAAAGCACGGCAGGCTCCCCCGCCCGCGCACTGCCCCAAGCAGGAACGGGAGCAATGAATGGGTTGCCGAGGAAAGGAAGCGGAAAACCCATCATCAGTACGCCCCTTTCCTTTCACACCTTCCCTTCCCCTCCCTTTTGCGCCCCTTCCCTTGGCACACTTTCCCTTCTCTTCCCTCACTATCCCGTGCGATCGCTTACCCCAGTGGGCGGCTTAAACGGAGGGCAACTTCGTGCATGGACGGCGACCAGCCCCCCTCCAAGCGTGTTCGACTCCGGGAGAAAAGGGCGCGGCGTCGGCGGCGCAATAACAATGGCAGGAGGGCAACGTAAGCCGAGGGAGCTCCTCATGGCCAGCCGCTGGCGGGCTGTGGGGCGCCGGAAGCTCCCAGTGCTTCTCAGGGCGCCGCCATGTCTGCGCGCGTCCAAGGCGAGAGTGGCTGCCGGGAAGCGCGAGTCAAAGCCGCGAGAGCAAGAGCAGCGCGGGGTCCTGAGCGGCACCGGAGGAGTGGCGGCGGGTCCAGCAGCAGACAGCTGTCAGTCATGAGACGGGGCTGTAGACCGACAGCGCGAGGAGCGAACGGAGCTCCCGCTGCCCTCCCGAGGGCTTCCGAGAGATCCGGCCGGCTCCCCGTGGAGCCCATTCCGGCTTGTTGCAGCCGGTGGGAGGGCGGGGAGAAGCAGGGACCGCCAGGCGAGGAAAAATGACATCCCAGTTTGTTCCCCTCCCCGAACAGGTACCGAGTCATCATATCTTTAGCAAAAGCAATTAAGAATCAAGAGTCAGAATCGAACCGGATTTTGATCAGACTCTTTTTCGGCCTCGGGGTTTCTGGGTTTTAAAGGAGACGGAGCGAATACAAAAAGATGGCATCGAACAGAAGCCCCCCTAACATGGTCCAATACATTATTAATAAGCATTCTTTGTTGGGTCTCATTAAAGGCCCGTGCGAAAGGCAGAGTTTAAAAGGGGATTGCAACGAACAGGCTTGTGGCACTTCAGAGACAGCACCTTTATTCTCCAGAAACAGAAATTAGTTAGGTTTACTTGTTCATATGTAGTGCAATCCTTTGCATGCACTCAGACATAAAAGCCCTGCTGCATACAATGAGATTTACTACTGTGCACTTGTGTGTGAGCTACCCTTTCAGCACGAATCTTCCAAGACAGTGCACAGTTAAGAAAATTGCAACGGTTATCATAAAACTACATTTGAAAACAATAAAAGGCATGGAAACAGCAGTCAGTAAAAACCACCAGACGCCAATAGGCCTAGACCCATGAGCAAAATAAAAATCTTCACTTGTCATCATAAGGTATCAAAGTTGCAGCCCAT